TTGGTTTTTTGAGACAGGGTCTTACTATGTAATTGAGACTGACCTGGAACTCACTATGTAGCCCAAGCTGGTCTCAAACTCACAGCAATCCTCCTGCCTCAGCCTCCTGAGTGCTGGGATTACAGGCATGCGCCACCACACCTGGCTGCATCAAAGTTTCTAATACACTGATGTTAACACTGGGCAAGTCTCCAGTGGAGTTCCACAGGGGCCTGTCCCCATCAACCAATCCAAATTCCCATCCATGATTTGGAGAAAGATAGAGCACACATTCATCAGCACATAGAGCTGGGAGACACATTCTAATTTTTTTTTGAAACGGTCTCACTATGTAGTTGAGACTGACCTGGAATAATTTTTTTTTTTAATTCACAATTTTTCAGTTGCTGTTTCTGTGTGGTGTTGGGAAAAACCCTGAATGCATCAGGAACTCAGGGCCTTAGCATCCCTTGAAGGAACTCATCTTTCTCACAAAAGGCAACCACCAGGTCTTTAAGCAGTGAGTTCTGCATGGGAGGGACAGGTGGTAAGCAAGGCCTGCTGCTCTTCACTAACAACTCAATGACAGTCCCCTGGGAAGCCACCTCAGGACCATGCAGAAGGTGTGGGCCCAGCCATAGCTCTGCTTCTGACCCTCCAGCAGGACGTTGCTCTCTCCTAGCCATTTTCTGCCATGGAGTGGAGCAGAGTGAAGCGATAAGTTTGCAAAGAAGGGAAGGATCACATGGACTGAGAGAAATCCTAGGGGAGATCAGCTGCCAACACAGCACTGCCAGTGAATCAAAGGTTCTGTTGGGAGATGATTTCCAGGGTTCATGAAGAGGTCCCACATAGGAGAAGCCTGTCCAAGAGTGGAGGAAGCTCAAGATAGAAATTACTACTTCACATTCCAGTCTCAGACTCTATACCACCCTGACAACTGTTAACCCATCTTGTACTGGAAAGGAGGGACATGTGTGTAACAAACCTAGTTATATCTGTGTCCCCAAACCAGAGAAAGTGGCAGTTTCAAAGCCAATAGCAGCTGCCCCCCTGCCCTTTTCTCTTTGTGTCCATACCTGCTAGTGCACTGACCAGGAAGTAGGCTGTTGCAAAGAGTTTCTGGTTGCTGACTTCACCCTCAGGGCCAGGCCATTCCCCTTGTATTCTGCATCCTGCCAGCTGCAGGAAGGCCATGAGGTCCTGCTGCTGAGGTGGCTTCAGCTCCCCCATTGCCAACGCTGCTTGCGGACACCAGAAGCCACCAGCCATGTCATCACACTGCAAGGCAAGAGGACAAGGAAAGAATGCTGTTGCACCAACAAAGTGCTCCCCAACCTGGGGCCTCTGCCCCACCAAACACAACACATAACCTATATCTGCTCCCAAGTAAAGCAAGATGCTGGGCCTTTTCTATGTGTTGATGTTACTTATCCTCAGATTTAAGTATTCCAGAAGGAAGGAGTAAGCTAACCTTGCTCAAGTACTATACTTTTGCAATGAGGGAAGGAGGCATGTGGAACTATTGAGACCCAGACTTGAGCAGAGCCTTTTAGGTCACACCAGAGATAAGGGACAAGTGGTTACACAGAGAACTGATAAAGGGCACATAAAAGCATCATCTCCTCATGGTCATCAAGCTCTAAAAACATAGCCCTCCAAACTTGGTACATTCCCAGCCAGCCCTAGGCAGCAGCCTCCACCCCCAAAGGGCCTGCTGTGGGGCCAAGTAGCCTTACCCGGCAAACCAACCCCCCAGCTGTAGCCCTCATGTCTGGATCTACTTGCATGCCAGCCTGTCCTCCGCCACTCAGGCAGCATGCTCCTCCAGCATCTGACAGGGCAGCTGATGCTCTCATCACAGAGCACCAACCCAACATTTTCCTTTTAGAAGCTATTTTAGGAAGTAAACAATAGCTTTTTAAAAAAAATATGTGTTCTCCCTGGGGCTAAGCTCAGCGTCCTCCAGAATGCAAAGGTATTCTGGGCTGTTACATTATTTCAGCAACTGAAGGTTCCATCTCTGATACCTAAGTTCTTTCAGCACAATCTGATTTCAAGAGGGAAAAATACTGGGAATGCTTTCTTGGAAACCATAAAGTAGTCAATCAGTTATTCCAACTCTCCTATAGAAAGAGAAAAACCTACAGATAAAAAGGTTTCTAAAACCTTGCCCTTTTTAAGTGTGGAAAATCTGGGCATTTGGAAGGTTGACAGTTGGTCCCTCATCATTTGCACAACTAACAGTTAAGGAACTCAATCTCTAAGGAAATCCTGCTGCTGCCAAACAAAGATACAAGTCCTACTTCTCTCCAAGCTTAACAGAACAGGTTCACTTGGATCCCATCACGTGTACCACCCCTTGTTGTGGTTGAATAGCCCCCAAGAATATGTTTGCCTGTGATCTTATTTGGAATGGGTATTGCTGCAAATAAAATTAAGGTGAGGATATCGAGATTATCCTAAACTGAGGTAGGTCCTGGTTCCAGTGATGGTATCCTTACAGAACAGTAAAGGAGAAGCCAGGCCTAATGATGCAGGCCTATAATCCCAGTACTCTGGGAAGCTGAGGCAGGAGAAATACAAGTTCAAGCCCAGCCTGGGCAATTTAGTGTCTTAGCAAGGCTGTCTCAGAATTAGAGGGCAGTATTTCAATTCAGTGCAAAGGCCTTGGGTTCAATCTCCATACTCACAGAAGAAAAAGATACATAGAGGGAAGAGCATATGAGACTTGAGTGATGCAATCAAAAGCAACAGATGTCAGGAGCCATCAAATGCTGTAGAATACCAGGAAGGATTCTTCCCTCAGTCTTCCAGAGTGAGTGTGACACTCCCAATACTTTGATTTATGACTTCTGCCCCTAGAACTGTAAGAAAGTTATAGTCTGTGTTTTAAGCCCCAAGTCTGTGGTCATCTGTTGCAGCCGCCCTAGGAAACAATACGTCCTCTCTCCCTGATGTCAGCTACCTTTCCGCAGTTAGAAAATTAAAGCCCTGTAACCAAGAATGAAAGTAGACAAGGTTTAGAAAAAAAAAATCAAAGCCTTGGCCTAAGAGATGTGGCCCATGCATCTTTCCATATCAGGCAGGTGAAAATTCTGCCTGGAGAGGTCCCTGTCTCACCACTTGCTCCAGGACCACCAGGAATTCCTCATCAAACAGAACCGCCTGCAAGAGGTTGTGTAGAGCTGTCTGCTGCTCTGCTGGCAGCTCCAAGAAGGGACTGAAATTCCTCTCCAGTGGAAGAGTTGCTATGAAAACAGAGAAGACCAAGTGTTAGGACTGCTGTGTACAGCTCACCTTGTGGGACAGCACCACTTGCTCCTCACTGCTAAGTGTCACCAATTGTCTCACAAATATTTCCACCTACAGTCAGAAAATCATGGAACCCGGAATAAAGGACATCAAAGTAAACATCACCCTCATGTTTTACTATAACCAGGAAAACTACAGTGAGAGAGAAGAGAAAAAGGAGAAGGCCCAGTTTTAGACTTCAGACTTCACTCTTCTCTGGTGACTTGCTAAATATTAAGAAAATTAACTTCTAGAACACTCATTTAGACTCTTTAGTATGATTTCTGTAGAATTAAATTCTCAAGGCTGAATTACCAAACATAAATCTACTTTTATGATGCCTTAGAGCCTGACAAATTCCAAAATGCACATTTTTTCATGCCCTTTCTTGAAATGCCTTGCAGATTTTGTATTCTTTCACACTTGCTCCCTATTTTCAGAGGGGGCTGGCATCCTATCTTCATGGCAAACTCAGCTCTTCCCCTTTCTCTCCATTCGTGATCAAGTTGTGCATGGAATCCATTCAGCTGTGCTACTCACATCCTCTGCAGTATGCTTGGGAACCTCTCCCTTTATAATCCTCTTCTCTCTTTTTTGTTTCTTTGTTTTTAAAAAGGTTGTCAGACCCTTCTAGCAAATTAAGCCCAGTAGAAATTTTCTAAAAAAAATTTGGTAATGCTTTCACACGCATTGCTGCATACTAATACATACACAGATGCATTACCTCTGCAGATCTCAGATGGCTGCAGTTACAGAAAGCCCCACAAAGAGAGAGAGATGGAACTTCAATAATGACATTAAAAACCTCGCGATAAACAACCAGGTTTTCATCAGCCCCAGTCCAAAGAAAAGAGCTGTCCTGGTTACTGTTGGATTCAGGGTACCACCAGCCAACTAGAAGGTCAACTCAAAAGGGAAGGCTTGGGAAGGATGCAATAAGAAAGCCATATCCTGGGACTTTCACTTCTGGGCAGTACAGTTCAGGGAGCATAGCTGCTGCTGTGGTGCTGCCCCAAGAGGTAGCCAGAAGTCCCATTCAGCTACTTCCCAGGGAGATACTGAAGATTGAGCCTTCATTTCCACATCTTCTAACACAACATTCTTGGACTCAGGACTCGCTGAAGAGTCTCACTGAGGAGCCTCCTTACCTTCCACACCAAAGCACACTGTGAATGGTTCCTACCTCTTTTTTTAAAGCCATTACCAAATTTTGTGTCTCCTTTGCCTTGCCCATCTTCTAGTGTACATTGCACTCCCATACCCCACCCAAAGCAACTTTTTAAACCATAACATTCTGTGGAAATAATTGTTGTAGGCACCTCATAAGTCCTGCCCCTTCTCCTCTCTGGTACCATGTGGCTTGTGCCAAGTGGATAAGGAGCCTCCAAGAGGGCATTCTGCAATGCTGATAAGTGTGGCTTGTCTTGGCAATGAAGCCTGGAATATAATGAAACAGATGCAAAATGTGGGTTTCCCTATCCCTGCTGACAGGCTATTCTTAATAGTCAGCAGGCTTCTGTGGTTACAATGAAAGAAAATCCAAAGCCCTTGACTGCTTCTCTCCTCAAACTCCCACCTCCACCCTGTCTCCAAAGCATGTCACCTGAGATCTGGTGTTCACTAAGATCCAACAGGAAACTCCTGCTGAGTAGACAAGGGCTCAGAGAGAGGCAGAGCTCCGTTCTTTTCACATGCTTTCCATGAGTCCCCCAGGAGTCACTGATCCTGAAGGGTACACCATCTCTTTTTTTTTTGGTTTTTTGAGACTGACCTGGAATTCACTATGTAGCTTAAACTGGTCTCAAACTCACAGCTATCCTCCTGCCTCAGCCTCCCGAGTGCTGGGATTACAGGCGCGTGCCACCACGCCTGGCAGGTACACCATCTCTTGATGTTCTCTGTTCACTGAACCATCAACTGACCACATCCCACTCTGTTGGAAGTACCTTGATTTAAAACACTTAACAGCCCATCTTGGGAAGACGTCCCATGCCTGGCATCTGGCATGTCCATGAAAACAAACTCCCGACAGGCCAAGTAGTCCAGATAGACAGGGTCAGATCTCCGCTCCTGTTCAAAGCCACCATGCTTCTCGTGGAGGAGGCAAAATTCTGTAGCGCATGGGAAAAGGACAAGCCAGGCCCAGAGTTGGCCCGACCATGACATGTTAGACCAGCCATTACCTGGCTTGGGGTGCAGCAAAAGACCCATCACCTTCCCCATAAACCACATTTCCTGCACACACCTATGCTGATTGGCTGAATACTCAGCTACTCCCTGCAAATGACTGAAGAAATGGCTGTTCTTCACGTGGAACTGTCTGGAGTATATTTTCTGAAATGTAGGAAGCAATCTTTCATACACTAGAAATATTTCACTATCCTGTTCTGAAAACTAATCAGACAAATGAAACCCACCATGTATAAAACACCTGAGGAGATTTGAATACTTTAAAGAATAATCATCAGAGGAACCACGCCAGCTCCCGACCCAGCCGCCATCGCTCAAGCGCCGGGAAGGTAGCCGCGCCGGTGCCCCTGAACCCACATATGCCCCCCCCACACTGTTCGCAGAATTAATGACAGAAAACTTCCCAAACAGAGTGGAAGAATTTGACATTCAGATAACTGAGGCATATAGGATCCCAACTAGCTACAATCAAAAAAAAATCTACACCTAGACATCTAATAATCAAGATCCCAGAAACCCAACAGAACAACAAAATACTACAAGTAGTAAGAGAAAAGAAACAAATCGCATACAAAGGAAAGCCCATCAGAATCACAGCAGACTTTTCAACACAAACCCTTGGGGCAAGGAGAGCCTGGAATGAGATATTTCAAGTACTAAAAGAGAACAACCTCCAACCTAGACTGATGTATCC